TGTGTGTGTATGTGTATATATATATATTTTAAAAGATTATAAAACAGCATTTTAAAATGTTTTAAATCAAAAAGTCTGTGTATGTGTATATAACTGCACATTTATATATATAGAGAAAAATCCAACCAGCTACCACTACAGTATTAACAATGATAATCTTTGTCTGGCAGGAGTGTAATTTTTATTTTGTTATTTTCTAACTTTCTAAAATGTGAATGTGTTATTTATATTAGTAGGAAAATATATAACTTTTTTTAGAAAGTTTTTGCTATAGGGTGAATGTGCTTGTCAGAGAGACAGAAAGTGAGAAACCCCCAGGGGGGATGACCACACCTCAATCCCTTCTCCTCCATTCTCCTCTCGGGATTTTGGGCCCATATGCACATGCACTCAGTGTGAGTTTCAAGCCGCCAGATGCAGGACTCAAACCAAGGTCAATCACGTGAGAGTCCAGCAAAGTAACCATTACATCATCGTCTGGTCCCAATATATAACATTTAAAATAAATAAAATATAAATTAGTTACATTCACTGAGTTAGGATAAAGTAAGCATTAAGTGCTTTTGCCTGGTAATGTGAAGTAGTTAACAGGATGACTGTGGGTCTACAAAAGGATGATGTCATAAGAAGGTTGCTGACAGAAAATGAAAAAACCTCATCCTTTTGCTACTTCAATATGAACAGGGGCACGAGGCTCCTCTACTGTGCAGTCCTTTGTCTCTTGGGAGGACATGAGTCTTGATAACAAAAGGAATATCTTGTCCTGAGCTTGCCAAGCCCCAGGATCCCAACCTTTTCCTTGGTCAGAGTCCCTCTAGGGCTTTGTCTATAGCTTCTGTTTCCTTCTGTAACAGGCTTCTTTGATGCCAAAGTTACCCAGTCTCCAGGACATCTGATCAAATAGAAAGGACAGAAAGCAAATACAGGTTGCATCCCGCAAAAAAGGACACACTTTTGTTTACTGGTATCAGCAGAACCTGAATAAAGAGTTTAAGTTTTTGATTTACCTTTAGAACGAACAAATTCTTGATCAAATAGAGATGGTCAAGGAACATTTCTTAGCTGAATGTCCCCAAAACTCCCCCTGCAGCTTGGAGATCCAGTCGTCTGCACCTGGAGACTCAGCACTACATTTTTGTGCCAGCAGCCAAGCCACGGCGGCGCTGAAACTTTGGTTCCTTGTAGTATACAAACTCACCGTGGACCAAACCCAGGAAGTGGGCCGTGTATTAGATTGGAAGGAAGTAACAAATTAACTGGAGTTCGCTTAAGCCATGGTGGAATTTAATACAAGGCTAGAGAGTGTTCTGCTGAAGTCATGACAGGAAGGAGTGACAGTTCTAAAAGAAAGCCACGCGGGCCGGAGTCTGGAAAGGCTGTCCTTCTAGCTCTCTCATTTCTCTTCTGTTTTTACTGCTGCACGCTTTTCTACCCCTGAATACTGCCTTTCTGGTTTTGTGCAGTCTTCATAGTGAGAATTAGATGGTGGCTAAAGATCACAAATTCATCTGATATTGTTCCCCCACACTGGTAGACCTCGACTCTGCTCTTTGTAAGGCTGAGTTTTCAACCCCAGGGGCAAAAACAGACTAGTCATGATCCAGCGATGAGCCTTCTCACGAAACAGGTAACTTTAGTCGGTATGCATGCATTTAAAAAATCACATAAATGTTACTTTACCATGACTGTAATTCTTTCTTAGGTTTTCTCCATCACCTCAATGTGAGTGCTTTGCTCCCTCTTTCTGTATGTATATTCAGTCTGTTTCTTCTGAAAGAAATGTAAATACTCTAGACCAGTTTCTCAAGATTAGATACCCAATTTTCTTCCTGTTCCTTGCAAACACTAAAAATTCTTACACATATTTTTGCACAGATCACTTTGTAGGATTGTATTCCCAGAATCTGGATTGCTGAGACATGGAGCACTGTATGTATTTTACATATTTAAATACAACCAGAGGGCTCTCCAGAGTTAGTGTATAAGTCTACAGTCCTGCATAAAAGTGCATAAGGCTTCGTTCCACTCCCTCACATCTTCTTACGGCATCTCTCAGTGTAGCAGTGTAAAATGATCCCATCTCTCTCTATCTCCATCTCGCTATATCTCAGTCTCTTCCAAAGCACTGTCAGTGTTTACTATAAAGATGTAGGTGAAAACTTAAGAAAAATAAATAAAACCAAGAATTAAGTAAAAAAGGGGTAGAAACTACTTCATACTACTACACCTGGCAGCAATCTAGAAAACTGGATAATGCTATCTCTTTCTTCCTTTCTTATTTGTATTTTTCTGGTTGCTAATGAGTTGGGGCACTTCATGTCTGTCCTGAATTTCGGTTCTCAAAATGATATATTCATATCTTTAGGCCGTTTGTTTTATGATGAGTTCTATGGTTTTTGTTTTTAATCAATGATTTGTAGGGATTCCTGACATATACTCAATATCAGTTCATTTTTTATGTTAGACATTGTAAATATGGCACCACTTCTGTCCCAAACATGGAAGGAGCAGTAGCTTTGAGGAAGCAGTTGGTCTCTAACCTTGAGCAGGTCCATGTTATATCCATCACATGCCCCAGTCCCTGTCTCCACTCTGGCATCCAGCATGCTCTTTCCCCATCACATCCTTGAGCGGCAGAAAAATGCTTCCGGCCAGTAGTCGACCAACAATTGTCACTCATAACCAATCCCCCTTCATCCAGAACTACTGAGAAAAAGTTTCACTTTACTTAGCTGTGCTTTTTGCTGTCTAGAGTAAACTTAATTTAGACGAGGTTTTATCTATTGTCTGACAAGATTATACTGTCTGGTAAGAGCAAAGGGCAGCAAGACTTCACATGTTTTTTCTGAAAGAATCAACATTGCCCACACATGATCTCTTTTAGGGATGAATTTCAACTACTGCAGTCACATTTCACTGACAACTGATCCATTTTAATTCCATAAATGCTGGCTTTCACTGAGATGAAAAAAAGACTGAGGAACTTTCAGTTACACTACATGGACTCTCATCCTTTGAGAAACTAGAGAAGAGTAAAAAGTGCCATAAAAATATATTTCAAATAGCATGTGTAGAGATGGCCAATTATAGATTATTTTTATGAAAAGCACAAAACCGTTATAGTCTCTGTGGAAACTAATTTATCATTGAATAAACTAAAACTAATTGCTGAGGAATCTGGGGAAACAAATATATTTGGGAAAAAATTTTAAATAATATCCCAAAAGTCATCAGTATATAATATAAAGGTAACAACTTAAGAGGGGAGGAATCAAGCCAACAACTTAAGAGTGAATGAGAATGGGACCAGCAGTTAGCGTAATGGCTATGTCGGTGAACTCTCATGTAGTCGACCGTGGTTCAAGTGCTGGGCACAGTGGCTTAAACTCTCCCCAGGTGCATGTGCATGCATGCCCAAGATCCCAAGAGGACAATGGAGGAGAAGGGATTGCAGTGTGGCCACCTCCCAGAGGGGTGATTTCTCTCCGTCTGTCTCTCGGTCTCTCTCTGTCTTTCTGGCAAGCGCAAATGCCCTATAGCAAAAACTTCTCAAAAAAAAAAAGTGAATAAAAAAATATGAATAGAAAAAATTCATATGAATGTGGAAGTAGTAATATCAATGAAAAATATCTAAGAATTCTTAAAAATGAATTATATTATCTAATTCAATGAAAAGTCTAGTCAGCAGATTAGTCTTTTAAATTTTCTAGAGGTTTTGCCTTAGGGCATATGTGCTTGCCAGAGAGAGTCAGAGACCATGAGAGGGACAGTGAGAAATCACTCCCTGAGGGAATGGCTACACTACAATCCCTTCTCCTCCACTCTACTCCTGGGATTTGGGGCTTTCTCGCACACACATCCAGTGTGAGTTTCAAGCCACTAGGTCTGAGACTTGAACTGTGGTCGGCCATGTGGGAGTCCAGCAATGTAACTGCTACACCATCTTCTAGCTCCAAGATTACTCTTAAAACCTACTTATAATCATGTCAATTCGACAATATGGATGAAGAATCTTAAAAATGCTTATTCTTGAGTCAAAATGTCAAGGTCAAAATGGAGAATTGTTACTGTGCTTGTTCTACTTCCATATGCCACTATAAAACATGGCAGAACATTTAAGGCAACAGTTTCGAGACCTTGGACAACAGACAACACAGAGTCATCATCTCTGGGAAGGAGAAAGCAGAAGGGGAGTTTCACCATTGCTCTGGGACTCTGCTTTGACACAATTTCTAGTCTTTAGCACAAAGATACGGAGTCCAAGCAGAGTTCAGGGGTCATGGGGGGTGGGGAGGCAGAGAGAGAGCTTAGGACTGGTGGTGGCTGATATCCGGGGGTGTAAGCTACTCTAAAGGAGGAAGCTGTACAGAAAGAAAGCTACAAATACTGCATCAGGTTCCCTAAGTCTTTGTTCAAATACTGAACAGCGGATGTCCAGAGAAGGCCTCTGTAAGCCTTGGTGAAGGGCAGTTGATGATGATCTGGTGGTTACAAAGCCCTGGGAGGCAACCGCTTGGGCCAGAATGGAGAGGAGAATCCTCACTAAAACCCTGGGAGTGCCTCTGGGCCCACAGAGTGGTCATAGGAGCCACGGGAGAAGGGCTACCTGAGTTTGAGGTAAGAGCCACACCAGGACTGCCAGACAGAGGCCAGTAGCCTCAGGGGGAATATGGATGGTTAGCTGCCTTTCAGAAAACTGTATGTCTGCACTCTGTAGATAAAGGAAAATATAATAATAATCTAGACTCTCAATGACATAACATCTACAATTTCAATCTTGAAATGACAAAGTAGTAGACACAGGAAGAAATGGGAAATATGACCCATACACAGAAAAAAAAAATCACCAATAAGAGTCAATCCTGACATAACACAGATGTTGAAAATTTCAGATGTGGATTTTAAGGCTTTTTTAAGAGAATGAGAGATAGAGACAGAGTGAGAGAAAGGATCTCATATGGAGATCTGCCCCTACCCCCAGCATCCATAGACAGCCAGGATCGTGAACACACATCCCCAGAATGTTAGACGCCAGTCAGGGAACCAAACCCATGAACTTCCATGTGTTCTCAGCACCACCTGAGCAGCATGTTACTACAACGCCACTCAGCCAACCCTCAGATGAGGAATTTTAAGCAACTGTTACAGAAATATGTTCAAGGACTTAGAAAAAAATTTGATCAATAAATTTAATTAACCTAAGTCAATAAAAGCAAAAAGATAGAAGGCATGAATTAATCAAAGAGAAAATAATCTCCATAACAACATACTAGAATATCAAAAGTAAGTACATATGTGTTACGTAACGATGGGGGCATGTTCTGGGCAATGCATCATTAGGTCATTTATTGTGCGAACATCATGCAATGTACATTAGCCTACTATACCTAGGCTGTGTGGCCTAGCCTATTACTCTATTGTGGGACCACTGCTATAAACGTGGTCCATCATTGGCCAAAATGTCATATGCAGTGCATGGCTGTATATGCCAATAAATGCTACAGCTTGGAGGAAATGAAAGTACTTTAAAACACAATTTATCAAATAGATTCAAAATGAACTAAGAAATATGAAGGGGGGTTGTGTGGTGGCTTGGCAATAAAATGCGAAGTTATACAAGGCTGACCTGCATGGGAAGGTTCCAGCTTCATGTCCACAGACCACTCTTGAGTATGCAGGACTGATATGCCCATGACCTGGGACCCTGAAGCTGGGGATGAATTGCAATGTCAAAACCCTACTCAGCATGCTGTCTCTGTCTTTCTTTCCC